CAAAAATGGGAAATGTCACTATACCAGTAGTGTGTGGGGTTTTCAGGTGGGTTTCTCCAGTCCTATCTGTACAGAATAACCTAGCTTCCCTTACAAAACATAGTTCATATTATTAATAAACAGATGCTTCTTGAGTACATTTAAAGGTTTTCAATTTATGGATCTGAGGAATAACCTTCTACTAAAAGTCTGCTATATAGCGTACTATAAGTATTTCATTTATTTTACTAGATCTAAAAATCAGGGCGCTATCTAACCTTATGTAGCATTTCTTGATTTTGGAACCACAGCCCAGGCACGTATTTCCCCCCCTCACTCATATGCAGAGAAATATGACCAGTGGTCTCCGAACAAAGTGGACTGGTGGAACTTCTCTCACATACCATCTGTAAATCTCTCTACATAATACCAACATTATATGGCAGAAATTCGGAATGATTTTTTTATACATCAAAAATTATTTGCTGCTCTTGTGCTCAACCAAAATTTTGTTCCCATCTCTTTCTTTTGCTTGGAGGCCATCACACCAACATTCTCGTTCTCCCTCTTTCTATCTGTCCCTCCATTCAGACGAGGCTGAAGTGCAAATTGGACATCTGGTGCTGTGATGTGTCTGACAATACAGCCGCCACCCTCCCGCCTCCGCGCACACAGACACACGAATGCACGTGCACATACAAGGAGTCCTCCACGCAAAATGCAGAACTGTGAGCATACAGTGATGGTAAAAGGAAGAAAGGAAGGAGAGAGGGAGAAATGGACAGAGGCATGGAGAAAGGGAGGGAGAGAAAGGAATTTGATTGAACATTAGGGGGCAATGATGAAGCTATTCTATTCACACTGCCAGGGGCAAACACATGCACCCATGTCCTTGTGCCATCTTACACAGCTCTTGGGCTGAATGTAGCTAGTTCTCAGACCGTCTCAGGTGGCTGGCTGATAGAGGGCATTAGGGTGTGTTGTGGAGTGGAGTTGGCTTATAACAGAGCTGTCTGCATAGAGTGTTGTTCCACATTTACCCTCATGACATCTGCAAAAAGTCTTCTGTCTGACATAAAGAACAGGATGATAGTGTTGAAAGAAACGACTACACAAACAAACAACAGCATGCAGTAAGAATTCAAGGAGAAATACATTTGCATGCATTGGCTATACAGTTGCATAAATAAGCATACAGGTATGGCTTTGTACACACACACATACACACACGCACATCCTTAAACCCACACATAAAGAGGCTGACTAAGCACCATAACCTACTTTTACAACCAAAGGCATACAATTCAGTAGTTGTGTCTATTTATAATGGAGCATATTTCTTCCCAGCAAAAACAATGCATTTGTACTTGCAAAGCTGTATGAGAAGTACAGTATTCATTTTCTTGAATCATCTGTGGCCTAAAAACAACAGACAGATAATATTGCTTATTCAGGTAGTGCTCCTTTCTTCTTAGCCAGTTAATCTCCCGAAGCACAACTCATACAGTATTTGTTCTCATTACACAAGCTCACATCAACAGGGATTGACACTATTTCCTTTCTCCTTCTCTGAAGAAGATATAACTGTCAATTTTTTTTAATCACAGGATGAATAAAATTTGCATACATTGTGCTTGATGATTATTTGCTTCATCTGAATGCTTGGCCCCCCTCAGATGCTCGAGTTCAGCTGGTTTAAATATCTGTGTGTTCTTTCTGGGCCTTTGCTTTCCTGCTACCAAATGTTTGTTTCTACATCCTCTTTAGATGCTGGTAGATAGCGCCCAAGCATTCAAAAGAAAGGGGGGGGGGGGGGGGGATTTACAGACGGCTCTCAAAGGAGCTACTGTATACAGCATAAAAAAAAAAACAGGTAATCCCACAAACAGGTCTATCACTTTGCTTTGAACTTCAAAGAATGTTCACAACAATTAAAAGCAACATAGTAGGGAATGCAAATTACAAAAAGAAAAAAAAGAAAAAGATTACAAAAGAACATTTGTCTCATTATCTTAATGCATATTGTATGTTGTGGAACAGTGGGAGTGAATTAGAGGTGAACTTTATAATGGTGTATGTTTGGATATACAGAAAAAATATTCTGTATATCCAAAAAAGGTGCATCAAAGAGCTCCACAGAAAATATTGAGCTCTGCTTAAATAATGCCTTTCGTTAAAGCAAAATTCTTTCAAAGGTACTGTCAGTTTTTTTTAGTTTATTTAACAGAAAAAATAAAATTGTATTCATAAATATACAATTATTAGTGTGTAATTAGAAATACTCCTATGGATCTTAGAAATGCATAGGAGCAGACACCAGTTTGTGAAAGCCGCCATGTTGCCCCACCATCTGAAAATACAGTGACTGAGATGGACACTATCATTACACCTCTCTGCATTTTATGTATGTGGCTAGAGACTGGCCACATGCGTAGTACGACACAGACAGAGGAGAAGAGAACATTCATTTTAATTCGGGTCTGCATCATCAGACTCTACGATATGAAGGATCATATCGATGTTTTAACATCTGAGAAGAGGTCCCCTTCACCAAAGAAGTGAAAACAGAAATAGACAACGCGACTGACATATCATGTCATTCTCTTCCTCCTCTTTGCTAACTGTCCAAGCCCAATAGTGTCAAGCTAACAGCAGCTAACAAAGGCTAACAGCAGCTAACAGCTCAACAGTTGCCGATAAAAAAGCTCAGGATATCTTCAACAACTCACCTCAGTATTGCTGTCATTGAACAGCCATGAACTTTACTGACTCGTCAACTTGTATCGAGCTCCATTCACAAAGTTTTATAGCTTCCCCCGAAGTAAATAGACGTGGACACGTAATGACAGCTGAGATAAACAGCAGACTGACAGTCTACACTTAGTACAGATGTATTTTGTATTTTGAATTGGGAGGGGTGAGAAAACAGAATTCAGCTGACTGCAAACTGCTCACATCTAGTGGTGAGATTTTACAAAAGGTGCCTTTAAGTACCTAGTGACACATCTAGTGACTTTTTGGACAAACAGTCACCGAAACCTACAGATGAGTGTAAAGTCTCCTCTCCCACCATAAACAAACTGCTCTCTGTGGCTACGCAGTTGAGTGAGAGGCTGTGATCTACTTGCACAGATATACACAGTGTTGTTTGGAAGGTCTGGGTAACAAATCATACTTGAGAGCATTTTTAATGACCACTTAACATTTATACGCAGTCATATGAAAAAAAAGTTTTCATATGACACTATGGAGGTCGGTGAAAAACGAAGTACACTCTGCTTATCCAACACACCACATATTTACATACACATTCACACAAGCAGTATTTAACACTACCCGCTCCTATCTATTTGTATACATTTATACTCTGAATCCATTGGGCACAACTCGGCATTCAGTATCTTGCCCAAGGACACTCTGGCATGTAGACTGGAGCAGCTAGGGATCGAACCTACCAACCTTCCAATTAGAAGAGGACCTACTCTACCTCCTGAGCCACAGCCACCCCAATTAAGAGGGTAAGTAGGAGCCAGGTGCCACAAATCAAATGCACTTGATGAACTGATTATCAGGAAGTGTGACCACGTCTTTAAATGGAGAAGTGTGGTCAGTTTGCTGGTGTGGAGCATTCGGATGTCTGTTAACACAATACCACAATCTTTCCAGGAGTCGATACACCAGCAAATTCACTCTAAGGTGAAACCGTGCAATGATCAGAGAAAATGAAAAAAAATATCATCACAAAGGCTTCATCACAGTTATAAAATCAAGATTCTTAAAAATAAATACAATTGATTCAACTTAAAGACAAGTCTTTAGTCATGCTGAGAAATATAATAAAAATATGAATTCATTTGTACAAGATCATGAAAATCAGTAAAAGGAGTGTGAATCTACAGGGTGCCAGACTTCCATGTTTCGAACCTAATAACTTTGTTTTTACAGCGAGTAGTGTAAAGCAATATCCTAAAAGGGACCAAAGCATAATGTTTTCAGGTCAGAGGAAATAATAAAGTCATAAAAAGAAGGATGATTATCAGCTGAAGAAAATGAGACTACCTATACCTTTTTCAAGTTGCTTCTCAAAGTTCAGCTTTAGGTTTGGCAGAAAGCTTACATCATGATGTGAGTCCCTCACTACGTAATGCTAGAAAAACAAGCTCCAACGTTAACTGAGCAACAAAAACTGAACTTAAAAGTATTATTTCCCTAAAGTAGTGATGTCACAACGCCAACAATCCGTTGGCTGAAAGTTGTGAAAGTATGCTATTGTGAGATTTTTGTTTTAGCTTAAACGAGATAACATTAGCGTTGGTTTAAAAAGGCTAAGATTCATTGTTAATACAGAGAGTATATAAAAAAGAATTTCCCGATTTCAAAGTGCTTTAATTGCACAGCTGTTTACCGGTGGAGATCAAAACAGGGGACTCGTAAATTTCACATGTTTGCAGATAGGTGGGATCCCAACAGCAGGGACTCTAGAAATCCTCACAAACGTATGGGACGGGTTTGGCTATTATATGGACCTGTGCCATGTGTCTGGAGGGGGGCACATTGAGCACTTCTGAACACTACAAGTTTTACATGTAAAACTTTATATTCAGAAAGAATTTTTAAATTTACCACAAGCTTTTATGGCTAATAAAATGAGCTTTTTATTAAAATTAGATTATGCTTTTTGATACACCCTGTGTATGTTTTTAATGTAAAGTGAACAAAAGACTTATTATACTCAGCGGCTGTAGATTCTATCGCCTGTCTTTGTAGAGCAAGTTCAAAGTGCTTACTTAAAGAAGTGCTTAGAATACATTCTGTATTTTAGTTGCCTATAGCTTTGTGTGTCAGTCTGAGCCTATTTGCTGTCCAAACAGACAACAACCAGTGCAACATCTTCTCACCAGTCAAGACAGATAATCCTAATAAGCTCAGCAGCTGAAGCCAAACTTGATCAATATGGCCCAACTGAAGTATAATAAAGCATACTATGAACTGGCAGGCCAGCAGAAAAAGCAGTGTGTTACCTCTCCAAGAGCTTCATAGCGTTTCTGGTTCCAGCGGTGGAGATCCTCCCTGGCATTGAAGACAAAGGGTTCACCCGTTTTTATATGGCGGAGTTGGCCATCTGTTGGAAAAAAATGTAATGGGACAAAAAGAGACGTGTAATAATAATAAACAATGCCTTTCTATTATTTCTATTACAGCGTGCAAGTAAAGTAGGCGAATCCCTGCTCTTGACGGCACATCAAAACGTACATCTGCCTGCCAAACTAAACTTGACTTTTTTTACTGCTTATTTTTTATCCCCCCCATCTGGCAGGTACAAGGCCCATGGATGCAGCAGCATTCTTCCAGTCACGACTCCAACAGCCTTCTGGGTTGTCTGGCAGGCCAGAGCTGGACAGCTGGTATGGTAAAAATTCTCTTTCCCTCTCTCTGTCTCTTCACTCATCTAAAAAGCCTCTCCCCTTCCTCTTTAACAGTGCCCATCTCCCTCTCCTTCAGTGCTCACTCTGGCGACAGGCCACAGTTCTGTCCCTGCCTTTTCCACCTGAAATCTCTAAGAGCAAAGACTAAAGTGGGTATGGGAAAGGTTCTCAGTATGTTTTGTGCATGCGTGTGAGCATGAAGGGAGAAAGTTCGGCTGGCAAGCATTAGGCACAACGACAACTGCTCCTCGTAGTTCCTTTGAGGATGTTGTCTGGGCATCAGCCAATCACCCTAAGCAGTAGAGCTTACACACACACAAAAACCCACACAGATCAGAAGCTCCAGCCAGGAGGACCAGGTGTGGGAATACAGTAGGTGTCACTTAAGTATCTGCGCTGCCGTAAATTGCTACAAGTAAGCCACACCGCCATTACTACACAAAAGAATTGACAGAGAAAACGAAAAGTCTTTGGAACGATGCTTAAGTGATTTATTATAATTCAAGGAAACGAGGGGAGCTTTTAGTATATTCAAGATGTATTTAATGCAAAACAGTCCTAAGATACAAAAACAGTGTTCAGAAATGGATCTACTTTTTTCAGCAATTACCCTCATGTGGCTGTGGAACCCCTACCTTAGCAATGAGCCCATCGATCCTCCAGTTGACACTACAACACAATAAAACACTAAACAGTGTTAAATTTAATTTTGACCTTTATGACTGCAAAAATTGCAAGAGCTAAGCCACAAAAAGTACACATACTTAACCCAAATAGCCAGGGGGCTCTCATATTTTCTCAATTATTGCAAAACGTAAAAACCATCTAAGATATAAATAAATAAATCTTTGCAAGATAAAAGAATGGGCATTTTTTTCATTTCCTTCTAAATTGCCACCATTTTCACACCTCTATCAATGTGATAAATCGTACATTGCTAGCTCACTGTATATAACAACATTCGCTTTCATAGTTACTTGTTAGACAACCTGTAATCCTGAATGCAGGTTCGGTGTCGCTTTGCATTAAAAAATAGATTTGTGCCTGAGAGGTACACAAGAAGTTAGGATAAAGCAGTGTGCACAAAAAGTACTTTGAAAAAAAAAAAAATCAATTATGCATTCGTGGAGGGGTGAGGATCTAAACACTACTTCCTAAAAGAGGAGCTATAATGAAATCCTACAGTAGCAAAGGTGTGTGTGTGTGTCTGTGTAGGTGCGTGTGTGTCTGTGTGTGTGCATGCATGGGCTGGGGGTGATCAGCTCCACCGTCTCCCACATCACATCCTCTCAAAGGAATAACATTTTCTCAACTTTTCTCCTCTTTTTCTGTCATAATTAGCATTCTGTTCTCAATTTGGCCGCTTAATTAGGTGTACATAACCTTGGATTTCCAGTAATGGAAAACCGCAGGGCTAGCAAGATGAAGCCATCATCTTCAGTGATTAAGATACCTGCAAACTATTGTACACAGCCTCTTCTGTATTCACATCATTACATGGTCAAATTAACATTTTTGTTCCACCTGTCTCTGGCTAAAGTAGCCCGAGAGCAGCTATATAAATGCCTGCAAGCCAGAGCGACTGTGTGTCGACATACTAGAGACATTGCCTGAGGGCCACCATGGCTTTAATAGAAATGCTATCCTTCAAAAACAGGCCTGAGTAGAAACTGACAAGACATACAGATTGGTAGGGCTGCGCAGTGTGTGTGTGTCTGTGTGTGTGTGTGAGAGAGAGAGCAAGCTCTTCTTCAGCTGGAGATTTTACACAGGATGTGAAAATAGAGAAATACAGAGGAAGGGATATAAAAAGGGATGAAAGGAGACAGAAGGAGGAGGAAGAGGAGATGGAGAGTCTCTGAATGTGTTTCTGCCTCCATGGTAGACTGAGCTGGGACTTGCGGGTGGGGTAGAGTGGTTGGCGGGTGTTGGCATAATAGCCGGTGGGGGCTAAGTCTCCATGTCTCTGTTCTTAGGCACAGCGAGGTTATGCAAATGCTCCGTCAGGCAGAGGGCAAGGCTGAGTAGGTTACTGACGGGCCGTAGAGTACACAACATGTCCCCCACTCAGCCAGACAGACAGCCAGTAGAGACACTGACAGAGAACAGAAAGAGGGTGAGAGAGAGAGGAAAAGGCTACAAAGGAATACTAAGCCAAAATCCCGAGCACTACTACCTTTCCAGCTCTTCCCCTTTTCTCCACCTGGTTTGATTAAAGCAAGCCAAGAGAATCCTAAAGAGACTTTCATATCATTTACACCCACACCACTTTGGCTTCAGCTCTGCTCCTTACTCTAATGTTGAATGACATACACCTTTACTTGCTCAAAGAGACATTGTCATTAAATATAAAATGCTGACATAACACAAAAGCGAACGGTAATGATTCCAGTTCCCCAACCTGAGGACCATGACCCATCTAGCACTCTAAGGTTTAATCTCACGGATCACAAGACGACAAAAGAAGTAAATCAAGGCAGAAAAAAGTATTACCTTCTTTTTTTTTTAACACAAATCTGACCTGACTTTTACAAAATTTGCTTACTGGTGGATTTCATCAGTTTGCAACAAAAAGTTACAAGCACACATTGCTTTATTTTAAGGCTTCATTGGAAACCACTACAGCTGACACGTGAAAGACAGAGCCTTGTATATTTCCCTGGAATTTACTTCCAGACCTTACAGAGTTTTTTCCTCAATCCAGATAAAATGTAACACATTCACCTCAGTTAAAGAATTATGTCTATGCTGTCTGCAGTGTTACTTATGGCAATGAGAAACTTTCTGTATCTCTCTCCCTTGGGTTTGAGTGATCTAAATTTTCTTATCGGGATCTGTGTGAAGGTCAGTGTACCATTCAATTTGTTGTGACCATGCAGATTCATCCATGACGCTATGACACTACAGAACTGTGCACGTGTCAGCAAAGAAGGCTACGAGTAGACTAGAAAAAATAGCATAACTCATCTAATCTTTGTCATCTTTGACATCTCTAGATGTCATGGGATTTGGTGTTTTTTGTTACGGCAGCAGGCTTTGTGTAACTGGTCAAACCGTGGAGCTCATCATGACACTTTTGGCTTTTGTTCTAAAAAGTAAATCTATGCACTCACATTCATTAAAGGCATATTCAAACTCCTCCAAGGTTTTGGGGAAAGTGAAAGGAGGTTCATCTTTCTTCATCAGTTCATCCAAGTCTATTCTTGACAGCAAATCTGTGGGAAAAAAGCAAATGATTTTATTTCAATGACACAAACTCCATCCATCCATCCGTTTTTTCAACTTATCTGCATTATACAAAATCCACACATTCATTTTGTAATCTCCGTTTCTCTCCCACAATGTTTAAATCACTATGTACATTTTACTTTCATTATCCCCATATGACGAAGCAACAGATGCGTGTTTAAGCTAAAAGGTCTTCTTAAATCATCATTAAGATGTATAGTGGGTAGAAAAGAGAGCATTCACATACAATACATGCAATATATACATTAAGTATAGTTTTAAGTTCAAGAGACAAATGTTTAACATATCCTAACAGAGAGATACCATAAAATGTCTTGGTAAGGTGTAAAACTGACATGTGGTTATTCAGCAGTCTACTGGGGTGATGTATAACCATCCAGCCATTTTCTTCCACTTATCCAGTTCAAAATCACGGTTGGACCAGAGCCTATCCCAACTGTCGCAAGAAGCAGGGTACACTCTGGACAATTGCTAAGAGGACTAACATAGAGTTAAGACACTCTAGGCCAAATGTATGGTCAATTTAGAATGACCAACCCAGGGAGAAGGGGCCATAAAGGTGATCAGTCACTGTTACACTTTAAGGGCTCTCAAACTACTTCTGACATGACTGGCAAGGTAAAGGTTCACACCGAACACACCATGATTTTTATTCATCTTGAACAATAAAATTAATCAAGGTTGATCCATCCAACCATCCATCCATTTTCTGATGCTTATCCAGGTTCAGGTCGTGGGGGCAGCAGTCTGAGCAGAGAAGCCCAGACTTCCCTCACCCCAGCCACCTCCTCCACCTCATCCTGGGGGACTTCTCCTGGGCCTCCTCCCAGTAGGGTATAACTTAGATGCCCAAACCTTTTGGTCCTTTCAAGTCAATTCATATTTTTATAGTTTGAATATATTTTTATAGTTGATTCATACTTTCATAGTTTTGGTTCATTTACTAAAATTAATCACTTTTAGTAAATGGAGTCAGTCAGTAAAGGTCAGCATAACAGCATCAGCAAGTTTTTAATTTTCCCTAAAGAAAGAATATAGCATGTTAAGTTGTATATTTCTCCCTAGCTGTCCTCATCCTAAATGCAGTGGCTCTCTTTCTTACATTTAAAGAACCACTGTTTTAAACCACGCTTTTAAACTATTTCCCATCATTTAAGAAAGCTTTTTATTTGTTCTTTTTAATTAAGAATTATATATATATTTTAAAGACATTTTATTACAGCTCATAATCTTATTGATTTGTGTGGTATTGAGTCTGAAATGATGGTGTGCCTGCCGTTAGGTCAAAATAGAAGAAAAAGACCTTAATTTGGTTCAGAAAAGTAAAGCCTGTTTCCCTCTGTTTTACTAATTCTCCTTAAATGATTATTTATTAGTGTTATCATTATTAATAATAATTCACCTTTGAGTGCAGTAGTTTTCTCTCTATCTTCCTGGCCAGCAATCTGGGCCATGATGATCCACAATATGAACAGGGCTGGTGTTGCAGCACAAAAATGAGAGAGCATGGGTCCTTTCCTCCCAGTGATCACTGAGGTGAATCCTGTCAAGTGACGCAATAAAAAGAATAAAACCAAGAATTGGGCATGAGTTAGGTTAGTACCATATATAAAAATATTTCTCAGTATCAGCCCTCTGTAAGACCACAATAGCAATTGGGTCACAGCATGCTGCACCTATAAGGTTGCAGCAGGCCATAACATTTGGGATGTTACTGCTCCGTCCTGCTCTCCTGTAAACACAACAATCTCCCAGTTTCTTAAAGAGAATGAATTAGTGATTAGTTACTCTATAATAACACAACACTGCAGCTATCTGTCAGCCATAATACCATAAAACATGGAGGAAGTCGTGTTGCCCACTTAGCACACGTGCAACAGCTGAGTTAAATATGCAAACACAGAGAAATTCTTCTTCCTTTAAAACTGCGCTGAAGTTACTACAAAAGCGGCATTCATTTTCACACGTTTAACTCTCTCTGACTCCTCCGTCATTTTCTCCACAACAGAAAACATCTGTTTATGCTCTGTGAGAAAGAAATCCCCTGAAAAAGAGCCAGCCCCCTAGATGGACCACTGCGAGCGGGTACAGCAGGATATTCGTGTTTTTATTAGACGTTTATTTTAACCAAACGAAGCAGAGAGGATCGAGCAGGGAACCGCTATTTACAGCGGATGCATGCATACTTTCATTTCGACTCACGCACCATTAGCAGGGTATGCGACTATCCAGTTGTTGCTGCTTCCTTGTAATTTTGTAAAACAGGAAGGACTCTCGGCAATGCTGCATGGAGCGCGTGAGGCTTCCGGGTTACCGGGGCAACGGACTGGAAGATCCATTTAAAGAGACAGTAGCACAGCAGCTGCAGGAACTTGTACAGATGTTCTCTGGCGTGTGATTGCCATCAGTTCTCTGATCCTAACTCTGTATTGCTCGGTGATAGGAGCATAGTTGATCGAGCAAATATGCAACCCTGTGTTGATTTATATTTAATAAATCAACTATAGTTCGCAAAATATCCAATAGTACAAAAATATAATACACTATTCCCATAACAGTGTGGCGATCGTGGCTCAAGAGTTGGCCGCTCGTCTTGTAATCGGAAGGTTGCCGGTTCAAGCCCTGGCTCGGACAGTCTCGGTCGTTTTGTCCTTGGGCAAGACACTTCACCTACTGCCTACTGGTGATGGTCAGAGGGGCCGATGGCGCGATATGGCAACCTCGCTTCTGTCAGTCTGCCCCAGGGCAGCTGTGGCTACAACTGTAGCTTGCCTCCACCAGTGTGTGAATGTGAGAATGAATGAATAGTGGAATTGTTAAGCGCTTTGAGGTTCTCCAAAAGCGTTCTATAAATGCAATCCATTATTATTAAAAGCATATTCATCAGTAAAGTCATATAAGGATCTGTATGCAGATAAACAAGCAATAGTCAAGTCATGATGTAGTGGTTGTGCCACCTGTTAAGTATTTGTATCTGTGTACACAGTAACTCTGTGTGGGCCATAGCGTCTGCTGCAGTCTTACTGAAAAAAGAGAGAGGATACCTGTGGACCAGTCAACACCTTCCTGATGGTATTGTGTGATGCCTACAAGTTTGTCCTCAAAACTCGGCATAAACTAACGGGCTGACTGAATGTGTGCTTTTGTGTCTTTGGGGTACATAAAATGCATTCTTTATTCAATTTTAAACACATTCAGGTCTGTTACCATATAGTCCTGTGCAAACGTTCTGAGTCACATCTCGTTTCTATATATTTTGCTCCAAGGAACAGATTCTCACTTGTTTGTTTGTGGTATTAAGTGGTCTTGAGCAACAGGAAAAGGATTTTCAAAGTTCTATGGACATTTTTTGCCTTTCCAGTCATTGTCATTCTAGTCTTTGTACCTGACTATTTTCAGAGGAATGGGTTTCTTTAAGCCACTTAACACTGACCTATGAATCATTTAATCATATAAAGCATAGGTGTCAAACTCTGGCCCGCGGGCCAAATTTGGCCCGCAGCCTAATTTAATTTGGCCTGCAAAGCCATACAAAATTATTATTAGAGCTGGCCAACTGTTATATACCGATTATATATATATTGTTTAGTATTAAGCTTTGCTTGTTCCATATTCAGTTTTTCAGCAAAACTTGTTTGAGTCCATAAGAAGATATTCATTCTTAAATCTGGAGGAAGATTTTTTTTCAATAAAAAACAAACAATCAAGTAGCTCAAGACTTTTGCACAGTAGTGTATATAATTATAGAAGCAGGAGGATAATACTCTAAGAGATGTTAGTTTATGGTGAATGTTGGGCCATTGTATCAGGATAACTTAACCTTTACTTTACTTAAAATTGATGTAAAGTGTGATTAGAAACATTTTAACAACAAAAAGTAAAAAGAATAAAATAAAATATTACTACTACTACTACTACTACTACTACTAATAATAATAATAATAATAACAATAAAGGCTCAGGGCAGCAGTGGTCAGCAGCTCTCAGAATGACACAATTGTTTTGCTAATGTGTTACATCTCACCTTTTGTCCTGTTTAACATAATGAACTAACCCTTTTTTGATTCTTCACCTCGTACCCATAGGCATCGGTGTCCTGTAGGAAAAAGCTGTTGGAAATGTGTAATATCAAATGGACTGGCAGTTCTCAAGCATTTTTCTAGTTTAGTCTGACTCCTTGGTGCACCCGGACACAGGACTGTTCCTACAAAACATGAGAAAGTGACATTGTTTAGAGCCTGTTACAGTATATCCAAAGGGAAAGGAGGGTAACTTGATTGAAACTAGACTTGCCAGACTGATACTGATACTATGTCACAGGTGATTTACTAAAAAACTACTATATCTGCCACATACTGCTCACCTGAATCAGGTGCCTGCAGCTTTACTTCACACTTTTTGCTGCAGATGTCCTACTGGTGTCCTACTTTTTATTGGCTTTGAATTGAAACAGTCTCTCTGGGGAGTCGCAGTTCATCTTTTTTCTCAAGTAGAGCAATGGCAGTACCGCAGAGAGATCTAAATGACAACTAAAAGTGGCACGGATAACCACTCAGTGTGACAGGACAAGGGAGATGGACAGTCTGTGCTTGCAGTAGACCACACGTATGGGCATGAGGGACGGAAATGTCTAACAAATGCATCATCAGTTTAGAAATTGAAAGCCAAAGAGGAGCTGGGAGTTGACATAAGGAACAAACATATATAGTATGGCTCTAGCTCAAAGATATTCTTCATGTTGCTCACCACATGTTGATGAAAACACACGGATGAGCATGCAAACAAAGATTCTATGGTGAGCATTTACAGTGGAAAATGCACGAGACTGAGAGTAATCAATTCAAAACTAAAAATGCTGCAACGGCTCATTCTTTCTACACATGCAATCAAGACATCAGGGATTCTAAAAGGATTATGTAGGTGTGGTAATCCCCAACTAAATATGCATTATAAAACATGTTTTGTTTTGTTTTTTCATAATACTTTGTTGTGAATTAACTGTCACTTTCATTGAGACTTGTCTTCTGAGTCTATCACTTGAATCTAGTGGAAATACATATTTAATAAGTGAACAGGCGCTCGAAAAACAGAGAGCAGAAAGCAGTTATCAAAAAAAATATGTATTTGGCTAGCTAAATATATATATTTTTTTCTGCAAAACAATAATAAAACTGTTTTGTTGGTGCATTAAATACAGTAAATTAAAAAAAAAAGGAAAGAAGAATGTTGTTTTCTTCTTGTTTAGCCCTTTTTTGTGTGTGACAAAAGCAGAAATAAATTGCTGAAGATTTTGTTGTCTTTTGTATTCTCTAAGTGGTTTGATGATTGTAACCCTGCTACATTTGCATCAATAATCTAGTTAAGGGTAAAAAGAAACATGTTTTTTTGCAACAGGAAATGGTTTCCTCCTGTTTCAAAGACACTGGGGTGTGTAGCAGTCTTTGTGAGCTGAAATTGCACTCTTATAGATAAAAAGAACAGAATTTGAGTTGATAAATCTCTTTTTTTTGAACATCAGGTATAATTGGGGACACATATGTACTCCAAAACATAATACTAATATCATAATCACAAAGATTATAAATCACTGATTCAAAGAGATCACATATTATATACAGGTTGTATGTAAAGAAGGAGAATATTCACAGGTGAGGTAGGATTATGCCTTTGTTTTCATTTTTAATTCTAAAAAAAATCAGTCTCCATCTCATAAGTAACAAAATATGGATATGGGAAAAAAACAGTGAACAATTGTGTTACGCAGTTTATGGGGAAAATACTGACAGATATTTCATAGACAGACAGATTTGGAGGACACATTGTTATCAAAACATACTTCATCTCGCTTCCCAACCATAATAAATTGATGTTTTCTTTCAGGAACCAGGAGAAAGTATGCTGACATCAGTGTCTTTACACTCACTGTCTCAAAAAAAAGGAAGGAAAAAAAAAATCTTCAACTACCTACAATGATCACACAGTCCCATCTTGTCCCAGGCAAACAAATCCAGGCTCTCCATTTCCCCAGAACTGATTTCTGTCGGCGTGCTCTAAAAAGATGAAATGCATCTGATGCAGCACAGAAAAGCACAGAGAGTTTGTCTGAGGTATGTGTATAAAGAGGGAGGCACCATCTCTCACACACTTTTTTGTTTCTTGCCCTCTCTCTCTCTCTCATTTTCTCATGCACACACATATGCAAATTTGCAGAATTCAGTACATGTGCAAACCCAATTACACCTACAAATGTGCAAACACACATCCCCACATATATACACACTGTAATACCTTGAGAGCTCCAAGTGCATATTACAAGAAAAATATTTTACAACGTGATAAAAAAAAAAAAAAAAAAACAATAATAAAAATCCATCGGCGTGGGCTGTTACGGGGTAGAACCTTCATCAGATGCAGATGGTTGTGTTTTCCCCTGGGCCTGCTTTCCGGGTGTCTCATCAGCTTCAGGGGGGTTCTGTGGTCCTGGGGTGCAGCAGCAACCCAAAAAAGCTTTCTCAAGTTCCTCCACCATCGCTTTCTCTCCATCTTCCAGCTGTGCACCCTCCTGCATCTCCCACCTGAAGAGCACCAAAGCACACAACATCAGCCATTTTAATATTTGTCAAAGTTAAAACAAACAAACATTAAAACCTGCTGAATGTGCTTTCCGAGGACCATGAACACTGTTTTCTGAGCTCAACCTGGCTGACTGATGATGGCCTTTAAAAAACAAAACTAAACACCCTTTTGAGTCTAAATTGAAAAATGAGAGGTGTTTTGGGGCTGTAACAAAGGCTTGAATTCAACCCAATATAAACAATTGATCGATTTAGGTTTACCTACTGAGCAATTTAGAGATACAAATGTTAAGCTGATGTTAAGCTTGCTTGAAATGCTAAAGTTTAGATTTTTTCTTCTTATATTTGTAAAAATGTTTACATGATTTACATATATCTGCATGCAAATATTGCTTTCCATGAGAATCGTTTCACTTTGCTGAATGAGGTCTGATGGCTTCAAATCTGTTGGTCGTCTATGGAGTTTCCAGTGGTGTTAAAAGTTTCACCCTTGAACTAAATTTAGATATAAAAGTGTGCCTTTTGTATATTTCAAGCAAAACAACCTTTGTGTAGACATCTGACAAAGTCATCTTCAGCATCTTTTCAACAAGTGTTTGTTGAATTGTTTATTTTTATGCAAGTCTGGACAATGGCTGCAAATCGGCTGATTTCGCGTGCATGCTGCACACCACCGAGGATCTACAAACCACACTTTCATGCTTTAGCTTCTCA